AGTACCTCTTACCCCCATACCACACCCGCAGGCCTTTGGGGTACTTTGGGAGCTCTTTCTGTCATGATGCCACTAGGTGGCACTGGTTGCTTGCTCTTCAGCCGCCCAAGTTTCTTCCTGGGCTGCTGGGACGGGACATAGAGGCGGCAGGGTGGCGGGGTTGGGGCCTGTCTGTCCTGCCTCCTACACCCAACATTCTTGCCTTCAGGGCCAGGGCCCCAGAAGGCTTGGGATTTGAACCCTGGCTGCTGTTCTGTTTGGGAGTGAACACATTGATGCATAGAGGGATATGGGCCAAGCCAGGAGCAGAGATGACCAGATAATCAGTGAGCGGTGTTCGTCAGGACTGGAGGATTGTGGGCCTTCACTTACAGTGTAGACAGTGGGGCGTGTGTTTCAGGGGGTATGTGGGCGAGTGTGGTTTGAGGAAGATCTGAGCATGCATGGGCTACACTTGTAGGAGGCTGGAGCAGAACAGGGGAATCGAGTCACCATTGACAGTTGCTTGAGCTCCAGTGTCTGTCTGCCCAAGGCCCCAAGGCCCCAAGGCCAACCAGCTGCTAGTATATGCATATGATCTGATAGGCTCTGGGGTGCAGGATATAAGTGTGGGCACCTGCCCAGTGCCCCTTTGCATTCCACTGTAAGTTACAGGACCCCTCACGTGTCCTGAGAGCACCCTGCAGAACCAGCCCCTGGAAGGCAGAGAGAGGAAGGGAAAAGGTGGCCCCCTCTTGTTTTGTATGTATATGTATTTTTTAAATCTTGGCATGTTGGGCCTCCCAACTCAGTTCCCTGCTACAGCTCCTTGTCAGAGTCTGGACTTGAGGGGCATCAGGCAGTGGGGAAGAAGATATGGAACTTAGATCTGATCACGGTTCTCTGCCCTCCATAGAGGAGCTGACTCTCCCAGGGTAATCCCAGAGCAAGCAGGGCCCGGACAGCCTGTACCCTGAACCAGTCCATCGGAAGGCAGTCTGCAGCTGAGCCTGCTCCCTCTTTGTGGGGCAGGGTAGCTACGCCAGGGTTCCAGCTCATGTACCTGGGCAGCCTATGGCGGGGGGGGGGGGGTTCTTTGTTTGTTTTGATACTAAGAACAATTTAAAGGCCAGAGACAGTAAAGGACATGCTTAATAAACAAATTCCTGGCCTCACTCTCCCTGGTTCTGCTCTCTGTGTGTACAAGGTGGGCTGGATGGAAGGAGACATCACTGGCCAATGCAATGGCAGGTCTCTATCTGGGTACATGGGCATGAGATTTCAAGGGCCAGTCATAGAGCCAGGTAGAGTCCAAGGCCAGCAGAGGGGGGAGGAACAGGGATGGGTCTGTCCCCGGCTCCTTCTTGTGTCTCAGCCTATGTTTGTATCTGGCCCTTAACACCTCTCCACCTCAACCTTCCGCTCTCCAGCCTTGGCTCTTCTTACTCAGGCTCCCTGAGCTTCACCTGGGGACAAGCTGATGGGACCCACTAAGGAGCTGAGGCTGAGTGGCTGGCCCTATGACCACACAGTGCCAGGCATGCCATGTGTACCCTCCTGAACTTGGCCTTCCCGGGGTGGGAAGAATGGATGGTACAGAGGGCAGCCTGCATGGAGGCTGCTAGGGAAAAAAAGAAAAGCCAGGATTGGCCCTCCTAGACTCCAGAGGCCTCTGCATATTTCTTGCTTTCAGGAGACCCACAAACAGCACTCCACCACAGGGAACTATCGCTTTATTAGGTGCCACTTCAGGAAATAAGGAGCTTGGGAGGCACAGGACACCTGGCGCATTGGGCCTTCACACCTGCACCTCCATCTTCTGGGCCCAGGCAAAGAAGATACCCTTGACATCATCTACACCCGTGCGGAGGTGGGCAGGCATGATGTAGGTGCGAAGGTCCCGCACCTCATAACCACCACGGACCAGGGCCTCCCTCACCTCCTCCTCCGACACTGGTACGACAGACAGCCTGGCCTCCCCAGCCAGGTACCACGACTCCTCCAGGGCCCCGATGAGCAGGAGATGGCCCCCAGGCCTCAGCAATGTGGTGATGTGACGCAAAGCCCGCTGGAAGCTGGCAAGATCTGGGCTCACAGCCTCCAGGCAGAAGGCAGAGACCAGGGCATCGGCGGGCAGGGGTGCCAGGCTTGAAGCACCCAGGGGCTGGGGCTGGTGCACATCGATGGGCAAGACTCGCTTCACCCTCGCCCGCAGCTGGCGTTCCTTCTCCTGCCAGGACTCACTGCACGGAGGACACAAGGCAGGGCTCAGGACTTCCCCCAGAGGCTGGGTGCTCTGCTGCCCTCCATCACCCACCAACCCACCCACCAGCCCAGCTCTCACCCCTTGCCCTCTATGAGGCAGGCGTACTGGCTGTACACACTCCAGTCAAAGGCTCCTGGTTCGTCTCGAAGCCAGAGGCCCAGCTCCTGCCGGTTGACCTCCAAGAAATCTGTCATGGTGATGTCCTCAAAGTGGGCACAGGCGCTGAGCAGCTGGTAGATGGTGGGGCCTGAACCGATGTCAATGAGGGTCTGTCCAGACACCTCGCCTGGTGAAAGAGAGGACAGGGGTTCCAGGTGGTCCCTGCCTCAGCCGCCCTCCCTCTCACGCTCTCCCCAGCGCTTCTTCTGGATAGGGTGAGTGCCTGGGGCACAAGCCTACACAGGAGTCGGGCCCAACTGGCGCCAGCCTGGGCTACCTACGCTGGAGAGAAGCTTGGCTCCCCTAGCTTGGATCCCACTGCTCAAAAACTAGCTCTCGTGAAGATTAAGTAGGGAGATGCTGCAGTATCTAGCCCTCCTCTCTGTAGTCTCCAACCTGTCCATCGGCCTTCTTCTCACTCTCCTGTGCTCGCCACCAACCCCGCACCCATCTCTCAATCCCAAGCATCCTCTCCTCAGAAGAAAAGGACTCTAAATTGTCTCATCAGGCCTCCAATTCTGGGCCTCCAGCCTCCAGTCACTAGTAGCTGGGACCACAGGCCAGCACCACCGAACCTGGCTGATTCGCTCCCTCCTGTTTGCACCCGCTAGCCACCCAATCTAGCGCCTACACACACTCTCTCTCTCTCTCTCTCTCTTTCATTTCCCCATGGCTTTTGCTCTCTTGCGCCTCAGTTTCCAGTGCTCACCAGTGGCAAAGGTTTGTGCCATGCAGCGCAGCTTCCAAGGCCCGACGCCATCAGGGCTGCTCAGGTCTCCACGAGGAGGTGCGTAGTTGTTGCAGAGATAGGCTCGGGGCTCAAAGCGCTGGTAAGCTGAGGCCACGGCCGCCCGGCCAGGGTCCGAGTCAGGGCCCATCTCTGCAGTGTGCTTCGGATCTGTGCCACCGCTCATGCTTCCGTTGGAGCCTCCTAGACGCCCCCCGGCTAGCATCGCCATCCCTTTATCTACCACTGGGTCCCCCTCCCACCCCACCCCCGCCTCGACCCCTCCACCGCGGGGGGGTGGGGGTGGGCGGCGACTGAGGGATGAGGTGCCCGAGGCCACCATGTCTCTGTCATCTCATCCATCTCAGTTAGTGTGCCACAGAGGGCTTGAGGGTGTTGAGGGGGCGCCCTCTGGAACATCGCGCCAGCCCCGCCCTCTCTCTGCACTTGCTTGACAACCCTGCACCCTTACCTTGCCCTGCTTGCCCCAGTGCTCGCCTGCACCCCCAGCCTCAGTTCCAGGTTCCTCTGCCGCCGCCCTGGCTCCTCTCCAGCCTCCCACAGGCTCTTTTGCCCAGCATCCCATCCCTACTCTTTGCCAAGGTTTGAATTAACCCGTCTTCCCAGTCCCAGCACCCTCCTCCAGCCTCCCCCCTCTTCTCCCCTCTTGGGACACCTTTATAAGCCCCCCTTCTTAATAATGTCATCCCTTCCATCCGGCCTCCATCCTATCTCTATCCCGCAATGTCCTTTCCCTCCTCCAGAAAGGACACTCTGTTCTGGCCTCTGTCTTGGTGGCCGAGGGCCTGAGCAGGTCTCTGCCCTGAGCGTCCGATGGCAGCAGAGATTAAGGGAGGTGTGCAGGGCTAATGCTTTTAGCAAGCAGAACACCCGGGCACCCTCTGCAAGGCCCCTGGGGCCGTGCACTGCTTATCTGGGTGCCAAGAAGCACACGGTCGGTTCAGGATGTTCCTACCACAGAGCAGGGATACCGGACTCAGGTGAGAACAAGGAGTACGGAGCACATTCTTGGTACCGCCAGGGCTACTGGAGGGGCATTCCCTGGATACAGGTCCCTGGCTCTTCTCCCCCCCCCCCCCCCCCGTCAGCATTTCTGTCCCCAGTAGGGAGTTGGCAGGGCCTGGCCTGTGGGTCTTGCTTGGTGCTCCAGGTACCTGGCACACAATCTGCTAGTCTTTACTCCCATGCATTGAAAACGGCCACCCACCCTGCCGACAGCATCTGCAGGAACCCTCCGAATGGCCCTGTGCCCTTCTTGGGTGGGTGGGTTATCAGCCTTTGCGAAGACAGTTTTGGCCACCTTCTGTGCCCCTTCCCTATCCCAAGGGGACAGTCTCCTTCTTAGGCCAAACACCCAGGCCGGGGCATGAATCATCACAACAGCTGCAGGGGTCACAGACAGGAACCTGACCCTGCCCTCCCACCCAGGCCAGGAGGGTGGAGCACCGGATGCCACACAAGGATTGATTCTGTCTGGATCTACAACTGACAGGCCTTAGGGTCACTGACCACATCCACACCCCAAGGCACAGCCAAGGACAGCCCTAGTGCCAGCACCTTCTGTATCCTTCACAGATATCATTTAAACAAACCCTCAAGCCAGCTGGCCTGCGAGACACTCTCCGGTGCCAGGGACTGGACATGGACGCCAGGACTGGGCAGTGAGTGGCACAGGAAGGGGGACCAGGCAGTCATCCTGCTTACAACTCTGCCCTTGTCCCCCACCAAGCATGGAGCGTGCCCTCTGGTCGTGCCATATTTAGCTCAAATGCATGGCTATTTCCAGAAGTGCACGGAGGACATCCGCGCCCAACCCCTAATCACAAAGAACGAACGGAGTCTGCAACATGGTTGAGCTTTTATTGCAGCGCTAACAGAGAGTGCTGGGGGCCTGCCCGGCCTCTGCCCTCTTCACGTTCCTCTCCCTCTAGTCTCCAGGCTTCCTTCCCAGAGCATTCCAGAGTCCTCGTCCGTCCTCTCTCTGTTACTCCACAGGTTCCTGTTTCCAGGGGCTTCTCCCTCTCACCAGTATCTCTTGTCCCTTCTGGGGCTGAGAGTGCTCAGCTCTCCAACCCCTCGTGCCCACCATCCTTGCTCCCCTCCCTGCGGGAACTCGGGACACCTAGGCATCCCGGCCTCTGGCTCCCTCCTCCCACAGCCCCCACCTCTGGGCAAACTACAAAGCAGCCATGGCCAGCAGCTCTCCTCCATGGTCCTAGCCAGGGAGCGGCCAGCCCAAGGCAGACACAGCGGAGCCTGAGTCCAGTCCATCTCAGCCTCTCTGAGCTTCCTGAGACATGGATCTAGAGAGGGTACGCCGCAGGGGCCCGGGTTTGCTGACGGGCACCACAGGGGGAAGCTGCTTGGTGATCTCGGCCACATCCTGGCGCTCGACGCACTGGCCACCCAGGGCCGTCTCCAGCGCCAGCAGCTCCCGCAGCTGGACGGGGGTCTCCTCGCGTTCCTCCTTGGCGGGGCCCACCTTGGCGGGGGTGAAGATGGGCAGTGGCAGCACGCGCTGGTACGGCAGCTGGTATTCCTGTAGCCCACGGCCGAGGATGCCGAGGCGCATCACCAGCCAGGGGGAGCGTTGCACCACCGCCTGGCACTGACCCTGCCGGTGGTAGGTCTCCCGCCTGTGGGTGTCCTCCTCATGCAGGGAGCACCTGAAAGTGGAGAAAGAGAGCTGCTGTTCATTGGTCTGAGGTTAAACTAGGGTCTCCCCGGGATGGCCAGGGCCCCCCCCTCCCCCGGAGCACAAGAGGGTCCCCAGGAAGCTCTGGTGTGCAGCGGGTGCTCTGGGGGAGCAGAGGCAGAACTTCCGGCTGAGCCACACTCACCCCTCTTCCGGCCGGGTGGACAACGTCAGGTCTTTCCACTCAGCCCAGAAGGCTTCCCGGAGTTCCTGGTTCTCCTCAGACACTCGGCAGCTCAGCTCTGAAGTCGCCATGATTCCTTCTTGCTCCCTCTGCTCTGCCGGGCCACTCCGGAGCCCTTTAAATAGTCCTCTTCTCCCCCTTCTCCAGGGGCTATTTTCAGCCCCTCTGGCGTCAGATGCTATAAGCGGAGCCAACACTCACTGGTGGCGGTGGGGCTCGGAGTTGAGGGTGGGGGTTGGGGTGGGGTACGCAGATTCCGGCTGCCCCCAGGTCAGAGGTCAGCTTCTAAAGCCAGCACCTGGGGCTGGGGTCCTCAGAGCAGCACCTCCAGGTGCCTGGCACGCTGCAAATACCATCTCAGACCAGGCACGTGCGGTGCCTCGTGCCACCTTGGCACTGTCCTCTGCCCTGCCGGCTCCCCCTTGTCGGGGGAGGACAGCAGCTTGTCTGTAAACAGAACAGGAGAAGCAGAGACCGGTGCCCCCCTCACTCTGCCCCATGGCTGCCCCATCACCTCCTCTTCCTGGGCTCAAGGGCACATACCACAGTGAGGCCCCTTGACTAGGAGGATCACGTAACCATGTCTTGAGGCTTTCCTAACCAGCAACACACCAGCAGGGGAGAGGAACCCTGGGTATGATTCTCCTGGGCTTTCATTCCCCAGGGCCAGTATTTAGAGAAGGGGTGTCCTAAGGACCACGGCCATGGTGAAGGGGGCAGATGTGGGAGGTGGCGCTCGCTTCTAGCTGCCTGCATAGGGAGAACTGGGTGAGACAGAGACAGAGAGGAACCGCTGAGCAGACTCGGGAGACCCAGTGCTAGCCTCAAGCTGACTGTTAGTGTCTTTATGTAACGACCACGGAACAGTTCCTGCCTCTTTCCAAGCCTCACTTTATCCGCTTTTCTGGTCACAGTGGAATGAACTCTGGGACCAGGCAGCTCCACGGTGTTACCTGCGTGAAACAGAGGAAACAGATGAGAACGCCCAAGCACCCAGGGTGCAATTCGTGGTATAAGAAGCTGGTGGTGAAGGACGTGGGGGTTGGGGTAGAGGGAAAGGAATGAAGGGATTGTTGGGGGGGTAAGCAAAGGCGCCAGAAGAAACAGTGTCAGAGACCCCTAGGGACAGCAGTGAGAGCACCCAGCTGCTATCCGATGCAGAACAGCACATTCTTGAATCCCGAGGCCTCTGCATGCTCCGTACACCATTCATTTCACAGCCCTGTGGCTCTGGTTCCTTTTGTTTGACAAGATAGGAAATGGGGGCTCAGGGAAGGTTTGCCCAGGGTCTTGGACCTAGCCAGGAACAAGAAAAACCCGCCCGGCTCCAAGCTCACAGATTCCTTCACAGGCCTGAATAGAGGGAGGGACAAAGAGAGAGGGGGCCTGGCTGGTCCTGGAACTCAGGCTTCAAGCTGCTGTGGTGAGGACAGTATGGATACAGGGCCAAGCTGAGCCTTGTAGAATCAGGGTCTGTGTCTGGGGCGCTATAGGCACCTCCGTAACCCTGAAGCCAAGGGGCCACTTACAGGCCTGCTGTGCTTCTGTGGGCCTGTCTCCCCGGGCCGCAGCATGAGGCTGCGGACTTGAGGCCTGTGACTATCTCAGTAGAACCTTTCAGGAAACTGCCAGAAACTGCTCGCCGTGGGCTCTGCGTCAGGGTGAGAGGCTGGCTGGTGTTTCTGTCAAAGACTACAAGGCTCAGCCCAGCAGTGAGGATCAGGCCAAGGCCCTACAGCAGGCAAAGCTTTTTGTTTATTTGTCTGAATTTATTTTATTGTGGGACAGGGTCTACCTTTGTAGCCGTGGCTGTTCTGAAACTTGCCATGTAGACCAAGCCAGCCTCAAGCTCAGAGATCTACCCGCCTTTGCCTCCCAAGTACTGAGATTAAAGGCATGCACCACCACACCCAGCATTTTTATTTTTTATTTGAATTTTTTAATCGGCTCAAATTATTACAAAGATCCCCAAGGAGGCCTTGGGAGAGGGGAAGGACGTGGAGAGGTGGAGAGGCGGCGCTGTCCCTCGTCACCACACCTGCCCTTACACCCCACAATGTGTATGGAAGAGGGTCACAGACCCTTTCACTAATGGTACAAAACCACCTTGGCAGTTGGAATGGACAGCTTCGTCAACTTCACACTGGCAATGGGCTGTCCCCCTGCCCCACCCAAGTCCAGGTCCTCTGTGGGCAGGTCTGAGATCCCCACAGAGGCACGGGGGAGAGTCTCCTCCTCCAGAACCCAGGGGCTTTGTGCCAACAAGGCAAGACAGTCTAGGCTCCTTCAGTCTAGGGCAACCCTGAGACCAGGTACTCCGCCCCACAACTGCTCAGGAACCTGTTCCCGGGCAGTATGGCTCAGAGGGAGGCTACAACCAGGGAAGGAGGTGCCACCCGCTGTTTAGCACACAGCCCTTCCTGAGCAGCAGGACACCCAAACAGTTCTGCTTTCCCGGCTCCAGAGGCTATGGCGACAGAACCCTGGCCTGCAGGGTGGCGTGGGAGCATGGTCACGCTCGGGCCCCCAACTCTCCAATGCGCTGCCGCAGGTGAAAGGCAAATTCAAACATGGTGGCTGCAAGGCTCTGGTGGATAAGGTACCTAGGCAGGCGGCCCTAGGGAAGGGAGGAAGAAGTCACACCAGCGCTAGCCCCCAGCAGGGTCTCCCTTTAGCAGCCCACACTAGTAGGGTACCCTGGGCCAGAGACAGACGTAGCTCTGGAATCTCCCTGCTAACCCCCCCCCCCCCGCCGCTTTGTCCCTAGAGGGAGGAACACGTTGTCCCCACATCTTGGCACTAGCCATAGACACAGACACAGGTTGGGGTGGGCTGGCAGCCAGCCATCCCTCCTGGGGCCTTAGGAATCAGAAATAAGAAAGGGGGTCACGTGCTTCCCAATTCAAGGCCAGAAGGCTATCTGGACCTCGCCAGCAATCCAGTAAAGGAGACTGAAAGTGGGGATCCCTGCGTACCGCAGAGAGCAGCCAAGGTCACAAGGCAGCAGGACTCCATTCCACGGGGCCCGCTGCTGCTCCCTGCCATGCCCTCACCTTGAGATCCGTGTTAAGAATCCAGATGAAGGTGCACACTCGGGGGTTGCTGGCTGACCTGAGCACAACGAAGCCTCCGGGACCATTCTCTCCCCTGAGAAGAGGAGGACCACAGGGGAGGGTTGATGAACAGAGCAGGTCCCCCAGCTGTCCCCACCCCATTCTTGGCCCAGCTGGACTGTGCTACGGAAGGGGCACAGATGACATTCGAGGAACTACCTCCCTGCCTCAGTATGGCTCAGAGCTGGTGCTAGGGACCAGCTGGTGCTAGCGGCAGGACCCGCTCTCTACCCAACCCTGTGACACTCAAGTCTGCCGACCTCGGCCTACACTCGCTCCACGGTGGCAGGGCGCTCACCATTTTCCCAGCCCTTATCCCCTCTGTGCAGACACGTGAAGGGAGCTGTAACTGTGAGACAGCTGCCTAGGGTGGCACTTTTCACCTCCTCCCCACCCCCACAACATCATGGCCTCCAGAAGAGGGCGCCCCCTCTGGAGGCAGCTGGCCCACAGGCTGCTGTTCACCTCCGATGGCCTTTTTGCTGAGCACAGAGGACACAAGGCTGCCCATCCCCTACAAGGCCAGCATAGCCAAGACATGGCCCTGATCTCAAGTTCTTGAAAAGTGTTCCACTGGAGCCACCTCTTGGGAAACATAAGAACTACTTGGCACCCCAGTGCTAAAGTCTGGATCAGACAGGAGGGAGGCTAGTGTACCCTTCCACTCTACCAGCAAAAACAAAGGAACCTAAATTCCATTCCCCCTCCATTCACACAGATGAGGAAGAAGAGTCAGTGGGGGCGTGGAAGGGGACCGGGAAAGGGGACTTTGGTTTCCCAAGGCGGAAGGGTAAAACCCCCAAAAACTCAGAACCCAGCACCAACTGCTGCTGGTTCCTCGGCCCATTCCTGGGCCCCTCCCAGCCAGCTGCCCGCTACACAACCCCCCTCCAGCCTCGGTGATGGTGGTACGGCTCCAGGCAGCATGATCGGCAGGGTTAGGGCTGGGCTGGGCAGGGCCTGGTGGGCAGGGGCTGGGGCAGGGTGAACAGGTTGAGGGAGGCTACACTCACCGGACATACTTGTGCGTGGGGGGCCTGGCGAGGTGTGTGGTGGCGATGCCAGACGACAGGTAGCGGTCTCTGCGGCGCTCGATGCGCCGGACATTCACAAAGTCCCTGGGGGAGAGGGCGGGTTGCAACGCATGCCCCGAGGGTGGGAGGTCTGGCTGAGAGGGGGGGACCTGGGCGCTCACCTGGGGGACACAACACCGCCTGCAGCCCCGGATGACACGTCATAGGAGACGAGGGTGTTGTCCTCCACCCGCTGGAGTATCTGAAGGCCAAGCAGGGAGGGGCTGAGGCACAGGGGACAGGCCCACATTGCCCCAGCACCTCAGGGACTCCGACTAGCCTCGTCCCTGCCGGGACACTGCACTAAGAGCCGCGGCCACCTGCAGGCCCAGGCTGCGTAGGAGGTAAGCACACTGAGTCCTCTGGCCTCTCGGCCTTCTCCAAGGGAATTGAAGCGGCACCCATTTTCCAGAGAGAAGCTAGGTCCCCTGGAGGAGAATGGGCACGAGAAGCTATGACTGGGCCCTGATCCGTGTGGGCAGAGGTGGCGGGCAGGCCTGGGTGGCTCACCTGGCAGGCGGTCACGGTCTTGTTCCATAGCACCATCTTCTCAGGCTGCAGGATTACTTCCTGGTACACCAGCTCAGCAGGACAGGGCAGGAAGGTCTGTAGGAGGGGTCAGGGCTGGGTGAGGCCAGAAAAGCGACCCCCTTGGGTTGAGGGATCTGGCAGGAGCATCTCAGACAGGGGAGGTGTCTCTGGGACCCCCTTCCCTACTCACCTTCAAGATGAAGGTCTTGCCATGGAAGGGAACTTCAATGGTGTATACAGTGTCCCCATACTCCTGTGGCAAGGACAGAGGGTGACCGGTTTTGGGTGGGTGGGAGAGTCTTTTAGTACAGGAACATGTGACGGGCAAGGTAGGAAACTCCAGAGTCTGGGGACATCTGAGCAGCCGTGAGAACAAGGTGGTTCTGGCAAGCGGGACCACGTGCAGAGATCAGCTCTGCGCTCACGTTGAAAGGCAGGAGCTCAGCTGTGACTGCAACCATGACAAACCGGAGCCACGGCTCCAAGCTGCCAAGGGCTGCCAGAGGAACTGGCCAGCAAGGACCTGGGCACGCTTCCCTGCTTCCCCTGCTCTCTGCAATCTTTTTAGATAATGTTGTTTTGATCATGCAACAAAACACCACACACGGGACACAGGCTGGCTTCTCAGAACCTGGATCCCAGGGGCCAAATGGCAGGGAGGAGAGGCCTGGGCTGTGGAAGACGGGGAGACAAGAGTCCAGTCCAGCTTGGCCTCCTGCTAAATGGCTGACCCCAGGCTATGGTTAGCTCCACCACCTCCCTGGGGCAGAGATATGGTTCCAGTGTACTCAGCCCTGGGGTTCGCTTCTCGGGGCTCAGAAGAAAGGGTCGGAGACTCCCACCACAGGCAGGTGGGGCAGGGGCTCCTTACATTGCTCCTCTCGAACTTCCAGTTCTCCTCTTGGGCCAAGATCTGGTCCACCACTGCGGTGGCTTCCCTCCCCTGCTGGATGTACTCCCGCTCCTGGCCAGGGCAACAGAAAGGGCTCAGCCTGCAGCCTGGGCCCTCTGTGCTCCAAGCCCGCTCTTTCTTCACACATTCCACAACCCTTCCGGAGACCAGCCCAGCTGGATGTGGGGTCCAGGTTGCTGTCCCTGGCCCTGCATAATTTCTGTAGCCTGAGGGACTGGCTGCTGTTCCCGTGTCCTTAGGCATGGGGGAGGTCAGTGGGCCTGACCAGCCACGCACTAGCTGGCACTCAGGCCAAGGTCTACCCTCTGCAGGGAAACCTGTCCAGCCTGGCAGGGCCCAGCACTGACCCATTCCAAGGGTGGGGTGGAGGTGGGCAGAGAAATACCTGGGCAGAGAAACTTTTCTTCCCAGTGACTTCCTCATCTGATTCATTGTCAGACCCTGTGGAAAACAAGATGACAATGGCAAAGGGTAGGAAGCGAGAGTAGGAGGTGGTGGGGTTCACAGATGAGTGAGTGCAAGAATGTGGGGGCTTAAAGTGTGTGGGAGAGGGGTGCTGGCTTTCCCCAGGGAGCCTGAGAGAAGGAACAGAAAGAACAGACCCAGCCTACCTGGTTCCCACACAACTCCTCCCTACCCAGCAGCTCTCACCTGCAAAGGATTCTGGGGGAGAGTAGAACTGGCCTTCAGACAAAGCACCAGAGAACAGCAAGGGTCCACGGGCAACAGCAGCCTGGGCAGCAAGATACCCTGAGGACAGAGACATGGGCAGCCGTTATTCCAGACCAAGGGTCCCCAATCTCATCCTTGGGCTCAGGGAGACAGCTAGGAGGGCAGATGGCTCGAACTAAGGCACCTCTTGGAGCTGAGAGGATTTTCTCAGAACCCCCCCCCCCCCCCCCCCCCCCAGACCCTGACCCCTAGCACTCACATCTATCCTCTTCAGCCTCCTGGGGTAGGACTTTGAAATCAAGGAACCAGGTCTCCAGCCAGGCCAGGACAAATGAGACAATGGGGAGCAGGTAGCCGAAAGCCCCTTTGCTGAGCAGCTGAGACAGGAGGAGAACACTGAATTCCATGGCAGGAGATTACCCTAAGCCTAGCGCCCCTTCCTGAAGTCACCAGCTCTGGCTAGACAGGCTATCTATACCCTATCTGATACCAGCTGCTTAGGGGCCAGCTATGGCACACGCCTCTAAGATGGATTATGTGTGTGGCAGAGAGAACTGGCGGAGTGCTTGCCTGAGAGGTACAGAGCTCTGGGTTCTATTCCCAGCACTTTATAAGCCAGTGAACTGGCACATCATGCCTGTGACCCCCAAACTGGGGCAGCAGAGGTAGGAGGATCAGAAGTGCATGGTAACCACCGTATGAAATCCCATTTTGATGAAGAAGAGAGCCATGTGTGGTGGTAAGGTAAGAGAAGAGGGGAGACAGGGAGTGAGGAAGGGCGGGGACAGAGAACAGATGCCCCAGACCTTCCGGGAGAGAGGCCCACCCTCACGCTAGATGCCTATCAGACCAGGTAGATCCTGAGCCACTGACCTGAGAGAGGATGACCTTGACAATGAGGAATGCACTGGACACCAGTGTGGTGACCTGCGGGGCAAAAAGCAGGACGAGAGGGAAGGCGGAGGCTCGGGAGTGTGTCCTCCCCACACAGCTCTCACACCAGCCCTGACCAGGGAAGGCCTTGGGGTTGCCTTGGGTGGCGTCTTACCGCAATCACCCACCAGTGCTGGAGCCGCAGCACGGCATAGCCCAGGAGCAGCCCGGAGAAGCGGAAGAAAGCCAGAACCTGGTGTGGAGAGGGGAGGCACTGTGACCTCAGAGGCTGGCCGGCCATCTGGCTTCCCCAGAGCTGCTGCACCGCACCCTTCCACTCCTGGGTACCCACCCCTCGGGTGACAACCGTGGCTCAGTGCTTCCTTGGCATAACCTTTGTGTAAACTTCTGCTCAGAAGTTCTATCTCCCTGCCCCTGCCGTGGGCTCTCTGAAGGTGGGGCCCCATTTAGCAGCTTCCTGAAGACTGGGTGCTGCCGGAGGATGACCTGATCCTCCCCTACCGGACTGGATGTGGGATGTAGAGGGAGAACCCTGTCAAAGGTGCTTCCCTGTGCTCTCTCGGAGCCTGGGGTCACTCACGAAGATGTCGAAGAAGGAGCTCTGAAAGCTGTAGTGGATGATCTCCTGCTCCAGGTTTCTCCGGATGCCAGTGTTGGTCTGCAGAGGAAGACAGGAAGGGCTCTGAGGACGGGACTGACCTGAAGGCCGCCCCTCCTCCAAGGATGGCCAGGAGCCCATGCTGAGGGTATCCGGAGGAGAGTTAGAAATAACAAGCCACCACCCAAGAGGGCCCCTGAAGTAACAAGGGAACTGAGCCAGCAGCCCAAGACCTCAGGCACCGGTTTGATTCCTCAAGGACCCAGGCAGCCCACACAGGCCAAACTGAGTTTCGAGTATACTACCCAAGAAGGTACAGGCCTGGGGGCCCAGGCAGAGCTCGTGAATGGGTCCTGGAGACCGTCTCTTCTATAATGTTATTTCTTTCAGCACTCTGGTTCTCTGTGTTGCCAGCCACCATCCACGTGGGGTGAGGGGGGCCGGGTGGGTATCGGTGTCAGACAGGGCCCCAGGTGGCCAATCAATCAATTAGGTTTGTGCTTAATGAGTGAGATCCATCACAGTGCTGCTGCTGCTGTCGTGCCTCGAGAAACCAGCAGCCAGCGGGAACAGCCAGCCCATCAGAGCTCGCTCCTGTCCCTGCCCAGCCCACCACGGATTTTTACTGAGACCCTTAACACCTTGGCTCAGACTCTAATGTCCAGGGATCTGAGAGACGAGGGAATCTGGACAGATTCCAAGAGCGAGGCTGTATCCCGACTCTTCAGAGGGGGTGGGAAGGCTAGCCCCTGGGGAGAAGAGAGGATTTTGGTAATGGATCCCAAAAAGACCCTTAATGATCCGCTAGGCCGGGGGCTTCCTCCTCTGGGCAGGTCATGTAAATTTTGGACTTTGTTTGCTACAGGGTCTCATTTAAAAGCTCAGGCTGCCTTCCGGCCCTGTGGGCAGACAAGGATGACTTTGAAATCCTAGTCTCTCCTGTGCTAGGATAACAGGTGTGTGTCACACCCAGCGTGGGGGGCACTTGTTACAAGCTGAGGTCACTGAGCTTGGAACTTGGGGCAAGCCATAGTTAGGAGCCCTTAGAAAGCTCCTAAGCGGGGCAAGCCAGAAGCTCCGTTAGTAAAGGGGGATGCTGCCTGATGATGTAAACACGACAATCTATGTTTGACCCCTCAGCACACATGAAGATGGAAAAAGAGAGCTGACTCTGTAAGGCATGTGCTCCCCAACCTTCTCTCACTCTCCCTTCAGGATGAGAAAATAAAACAGAAAGCCCAAAATTAAGAATATTTTCAGCTGGGCACAGTGACACACTCCTGTAATATGAGTACTCAAGAGGCTGAGGTAAGCAAGTCCCTGGTTCAAAGGCAGCCTAGGCTAGTCATGAACCCTGTCTCAAAAAGATACTTTCTTCTCCCTTTGTCTGCCTTGTGAAACACCACATTGACTCGACTGAGAGCTAAATCCAGTATTCTGAGACTTTCTTGCATCTGAGTGCAGTTTGTTTGCGGGTTAGGTTCTGTTACTTCACATGAGTTCTCAAGGATGCTCAGTGCTCCCAGCTGTCAGCCAAAAGATTTTCAAAAGCAAAATTACCAACAGCTCCCCAGTTCCTCTCTGGTTATAAAATACGTATTGAATTAGGGGTGTGGGTGAGATGTAGGGTTGCTTGGATGCTAGCTGGGACCGTGAAAAGGAAGATGCCCAGGACCTCAGAAGCTCGGCCCTTTATCGGTGAGATGATGGCTGGTGCCCCATCACCCCAAGGGTACCAGTTCATCTCAGATACCCAAGGGCAATCACCCACCTCACCCCACCTGCCTCACCCCTCCAGCTCAACATAACCGGAGCCAAAGTTACTTCCTGTCCATCTTGCTGCTAACTAACCCCTTTCCCTCTTATGTCAAGGAAGGCCAATCCTGGGACTTGAAAAAAGGGCCTTTACCAACTATAACTCTGACAGTGAGCCCACACTTCAGACAGAAAATGCAGGCGGCCTTGGGGTACTGAGATACCATAGCAGAGAGGAAATCGAAGCTGGGACACCCTGCCTGAGGGCCCTTGACTTTGTGAGTGCTGAGGCTCAGAAAGATTGGGCCCAAGGGTGGGCCAAGCCTTCTGGGGTTGTGGATGCTGCACTGTGAGACAGCTTCATCTCCAGGCAACCAGGCAGCCTTCCCCAAAACCAGGGCCACCAACCAGGAACTGGAAGTCTTCACTCACTCCAGTGTATCCTCTGCTTTTAGTATAGCTCCTGGGACACAGCAGGGTCTCAGGGCATGTTTGTTGAATAAATGAGTGAACTTGAGCCAGAGAGCAAAGTAAGGCAGAGAGAAGGCAAAAATGTCCCCAGCTCAGCTGGAGGTGATTCTCCTATTTGCAGAGTTCCCACTAGGGGGCAGTATGGTGAAGAGGCTTAAGCACGCAGCCCAGGAGTTGGAGAGCTTGCTCAACTAGGCTCCTTCAGGTTCTTGCTGAGGAGCCTAAGACAAATGACAACCCCAACCCCACCCCGATCCCCTACCCTGGGCCCCACATCACTCTCTATGGGGAAGGCAACTACAGCTATTCTTATTTCCCATCCTTCACTTAACCCAGACAGTCAAGCCCATGGCTGCGGCAACCTTCCCACGTGGCAAGCGGGTGGGTCTGCCTCCCCAGCTTTGTGGGCCCCCACTCACATTGAGCTCGATGATCCAGAGGAGGGAGATGAAGAGCAGGTCGAAGGTGACAAAGAGGCAGAAGGTGCGGCGGACGTCAGAGATGGCCCTGCGCTTCTCCGGAGGTGGTGAGGCGAAGCTCTGGCTGTGCGACAGTGAGGTGCCCAGGGAGGCCAGGGCTGGCAGGCTGCGTTCCAAGTCACAGGCCAGCTCACCGGGCAGCTTGCTCATCCTGGTGGGTCCCCACGTTGAAGTGGGGACAATGGGGGCTCAGCGGCGGGACTGGGGGAATAGGTAAATGGCTGTCAGGGTCCTGGCGGTCCCTGGAAATCCACCCTTTGCCATACCATCCCTAGGTACCCTATTTATTCTACAACATCTCTGGGCTCCCCGTCCTACACCTGACCCACAGCTCTGCTCAAATCCCCTCACGCACCAGGCTCCAAGCATCTCCCTTGCTCTACGCTGAAGCCTGGAGGTTCTGGGATCCCCGAGCAGGGCACTTACTAGCCTGTGAATCTTAGGGATACGGCCTGTTCCTGCACAGACTGAGGCTCAGCCTCTGGTCCTGTCAACAGCCTTTGGCCTGCCTCCGCCCCCACCCTGGGGAGAAGAGGGCCCCAGGCTCTGTTCTTTGTTTTCACAGCACAAAGCCACATTCCCTCCCAGCAGTCAGCCTGGCCCCTCCACCCCTAATCCATGGCAACTGGGAGGGACTCCTGGAGCAGTGTCGCAGTGCCCCTGGACAGCAGACATCTCGGTCCCTTCCCTCTGGCTCGAACAACCCAGCCTAGTCCCAGCTACTAGCAGCTCTTCATTTTCAACAACACTTTCTTCAGAAGGCAGCTGGGGGAAGCTTCCAAAGCAGGAACCTGCCGTTCCCCCACCTACTGCCTTCCCTCAGCTCCCCAAGCCCTGGCAGAGGGGTGAGGTGGGCACGCTGCCAACTTCTTCTAATGAGGCGACACTTAGATCCCAACTTATCGCAGGCCCTTGGCCCTTCAGTCAGGTCCCTCCATGTGGCAGCCCCGTCCAGCCTCTGACCCTTGACCCTGGCCTTCCTGCTGTCTGGAACATTCTTCCCCATCCCCAAGGCTCTGCCCACAGAGTGACCATTCCCAGCCCCCAGTCAAAGCGAGGCGCTTCTCACTACTTTGCTTTCTTCAGTGAGCTCACTGCTACCTGAAATCTCATTTTTATACTCTACCCTTCCTCCCATTGGGCGGTGTCCTGCAAGGGCTTTGACTGACTTGGTCACTGCTGTCTCCCGTGAGCCTGGCACCATGAGTGGCACACAGCAGGTGCTTCATGACTGACTGCTGGGTAAATGGACACTCCAGTGTAGTCTGATTTATTTTGTGTACCTGGCCCTTTAGAGGATACCCAGTTGACCCTAAGACTTTCAGCCGCCTTTTGGACTTCTGGGAACAAGAGAGGATATTAAAGCAAAAAGCCAGCCGGCACAGGCTCAGGGAGGTTGAGCAGGATTGGAGTAGGGACAGAGAAGACAGTTGGTGCAGCAAGAAAGGAGACTGAGTAGGGCTAGAGACAGGGAGGCAGCTGATGCAGGAAAGAGACTGAGCAGAGTGAGAAGGTAACAGTTGAGCCAGGAGAAGTTGAGCTGAGCCAGAGAAGATAAGCTAGGAGAACCCACACAAAGTAGAGAAGGAAAAAAAGGACAAAGAGCTACACTCCAGAAGGTCTCCTGGCCCTCAGCCCCATGATGCACAGCAGGGAGAATTGGGGCAAAAAATGAGAGGAGAAGCCTGTCGCTACCGGGACTAATCCACAGTTGCCGCCCAGGGTCTGCATGGCCGTGTTCACGCCCAAGCAGGACAGGATGGCTCTTCACACAGGCGAGACATCCAAGGCACTGGGAGGAGTGGATTTATCTAGCCCTGAATATCGTGTGCAATTGCAGTGAACTCAAGAGACAGAGTGAAGTTGAGTCCTTGGTGCCATGCAGGCTCCATGTCAAAGGTCCCTGCTGCACGTATCTGCTGAACTACAAGGGACGCTGTGCCCTGGGTGAGAGAAGGGAAGGCCTGTCAGGAGGCAGACAGCGGCCAGCTCCAGCATGAGTCAACACAGCAGCGTCGTGGGGGGAGTCCTAGGTACCTGTCCCTGATTCCCAGAGGCAGGGTGGAACCAGCCTCCTTTCTATCTGTTGGTGTTGACTCTGTTAAACCTCGTCTCCATCTGCCACCTTCCAGGTCTTTAACCTACCAAGTCCTAAAGGAGATCTAGCAGAAGGTCCATCCCCCTGCCTCTAAGCAAACCCTGCACATAGAGGCACACAGACTGTTCTCAGCAGAAAACCCAAGCCACCTCCCAGCCCTAAGGACTGCCCCGTACATGATCACCTAGGGAGTACTGAGGGGAAGCTGAGCTTAGCTCCAGAAGATGGGGCTGTGACAGGCCGGGGGACTCCCCACATCCATCAGCGGCTTGATGCCAGACTGCACACTCAGCACATCTCTCAGTGTGTCTGTGCCCCATCTCCAGGGCTGGTGACATTTCCTGTGTCCTCCTCAAACGTCTCCCTTTCTCCCTTCATCACCAACATGCTCTTTCACAAAGTGACTTTCTACCTGTATGTAAGACAATCTCATCTGTAGTCCAGAGCGGCTTAGAAGCCACCTTCCTTTTCTTTCTTTCTTTTATCTCTCTCCTAGATGTTTGCTTGTTTGTTTGAAGGGCAGGGTCTCATGCAGCCTATGGAGCCTTGGACAGCCATGAACTTCCAATCCTGCTGCCACCTCCTGAGAGCTGGGAATAAAGTATGTGCCACTATGCCGCTGGCTTATGCTGGGGACTGAACCCAAGGTTTATTGCATGCTGGGCACAAACACTCTGTCAACTGAGCTATACCCTCACCCCAGCTTGTATAAGAGAGAAATCTGAATCTGGGCACAAGAGCACAAGCCTGTAATCCCACCATTCTGGGAGGCAGAGGCAGACATATCACTGTGAGTTCAAGGCCAGCCTGGTTTACAAAGTGAGTCCAGGGCAGCCAAGGCTACACAGACAAACCCTGTCTTGAAAAAAAAAAAAAAAACAAAACAAACAAAAGACAGAGAGAGAGAGAGAGAGAGAGAGAGAGAGAGAGAGAGGGAAATTTGAGCTGTGTAGAGTGAATTCAAAGCCAGCCTGGGCTACACAGTGATATTCAGCCTCCCCTCCACCTGCTGCACAAAAACCCAAACCCAAAACAAACTCCCTGTAAGAATTTGGGGTGAAGATGCAGCCCAGAAAAGGAGCCCCTGGCTAGCATGTGCAAGACCCTTATCTTGGACAGAGTTCAACCTCTGGTGTAACAAAAAAAAAAAAAAAAAGGAAAGAAAAAGAAGAAAACAAAACAACAGATTTTTAAAAATAGAAGTATCGTGTCCTCCCAGAATCTAGAAGTCTCAAATCAAGGTGCCAGCAGAGCTGTCTGAAGTGTTTGGCTCCCCTGCCTCTGGCAGTGCCCAGCAATCTGCCATTTCTTGGCTTGAGCTCCCCAGCTCACACAGTGCTCTCCCTGCGTCTGTCATCTTATAAGGACACTAGTCACACAGAACCAGTCTTATTGGGTTAGGGGCCCGCTTGCTCCTAAGTGATTGTACCTCATCTATCGTGGCCCCATTTCCGGATAAGGTCACACCCTGAGGAACAGGGGTGGTAGGACTTCAATACGTCCCCTCTCAGGGACGCACCACAATCCATAGCCATTTCGGATTTTTAAACTATTACTGCGATGTGTACGGGTGTTTGGCCTGCATGTGTGTCTGTGTATCACATGCATGTCTGGTGCCCATGGAGGAGGGAAGAGGATGTCAGATCCCTTGGAACTGAGGTTGTGAGATGCCATGTGGGTTCCGGGAATTGAACCCAGGTCCTCCCAGTGGGAATCTGTTCTCTCCTACCATATGGGTCCCCGGGAACTGAACTCAGGCCGTCAGGCTTGGCAGTGGGCACCTTTATCCACTGAGCCATCTCACCGGCCCTGTTTTGTGTTTAGAGACGAGGGTTCGTGTATCCCAGGGCTTGTCTTGAACTCTGTTTGTAGCTAAGGCTGCCTTTGAATTTCTGCTCCTCTTGCTGTCACCTGCTGGACTAGTGGTGTGTGCCACCACACGAGTATGTGGTGCTGAGGGCAGAGGGCAAGCTACACAAGCACTCTGCAGTTGCCAGAGCCTGACACTCCAGCTTTACAAAGGGCTTCTTCATGTGCTTATAGAACTGATTGATACATTTTGTTTGCCTGTTTGTTTTGTTTTTCAAAACACTGTTTCTTTGTGTAGTCCTGACTGTCCTGGGACTCTGTGGACCAGGCTGGCCTTGAACTCACAGAGATGTGCCTACCTCTGCCTTCCGAGCACTGCCTGGCAGAGGCGGCAGATCTCCCTATGTAGGCCAGGCTGACCTCAAACTCAAACTCCAGTCATGCCTCCTGAGAGCGGGATTAACAGTTAAGTCACACTCTTGGTACTCTATTTATAGTCCCTCCTCTGTACTGGGGATCAGACACAGGGCTGTGTGTGCGCCGTGCAGCCGAGCCCCAGCCCCAGCACTGCGGCTGACAGCTGAGGTACATCTTACTGAATCCACGTCCTATGAGCAAACATTTATATTTGTAGCTACCAGAAACACCACGCTGAATGACATAGTATGCGGTCACGTTGTCGGGCGTGTGGCATCCAGACAGATTCCCTAGAAGCAGCACCGCGGGGTCACCCTGCATGCGTGGTTTGGTTAGGCGCTGCCAGATTCCCTTGGCAGCAACGCATGAGAATGCCTGTTTGCCCACAGCCCACAGGAAATACTGTCATCCATGTCTGCCTGGGCCTTCATCTCCATTTAGCTCCCATTCAGGAGCCCCTCTCTGCACCTCCAAACATCTTTGTGCCTCTCTCTTTCTCGCCCATGTTTTATCTCTCCATTCCCACCCCAACCTCCTTTCCTCCCTGGCTTTCCCATCCCTCCCTGGGCACAAGATTTGGGTGGCAGCAGCTTGGGTGTGAGACACACTTAGAGCAGCAACCGTCCTGACACTCACACCCAGACATCCTTGTGGAGGCGAGAGACCCGGATGGGGCTGAGAGCAGAGGTGGGGGGGGGGGGGGGGGGCTCTGGGAGAGCTGAAGATGCAAGTGTGTGGGAGGCTTAAAGAATGGCTGAGGCGAGGCTGGCCAAGAGCCACCCTCCTCACAAAAGCAGCTCCAAGTCCACAGAGAGCCGAAGCGCTGGTCCCCAGGAGACCACAGCTGACTCTGAGCCGCGGTGACAGGGACTATTTA